CGCTGATATCGATAGTCACTTGAAATGATAATATCTGCCGATATTATCGGTTGGCCGATTCATCGGTCGTGCTCTACTTTAAAGTTACAGTACAACATTATTCACACTTAGAAATGATCTGAATGTTGTCAAAATTAGAGGAATCTGATAGAACTTTCTTTTTATAATAGATATTTATAAGTAAATGCTAATTTTTTTTACCAGATTTATCTCAATGAACTCGGAGATCCCTTTTAAAAGGGAGAGCTGGAAAGAGTAATATATTTTGAGTCACGTGCTTTTGTGTAATTGTTACACATTTACACAAATTTGAACAACTATAATAGCAGTAGCAACATTTAAATAGGTTAGTTTTTTGAGAAACAATGTCCTTTAAAATTAAAAATGAATCTCTTTCTAGGTGCACCAGGTGTAGGAAGGAGCCATATTAAGAATGCACTGCTGACCAAATACCCAGAGAAGTTTTCCTACCCTGCCCCGCGTAAGTAGATAACACGTAACTTTTTCTCTCACGAGAACAGCTTAGTTTGAGGAAGTGTCGTAAAGCTGAGTATCTCAACTACGTCCATGCAGACACCACCCGACCGCAGCGCAAGGACGAGGAGAACGGACAGGAGTATTATTTCATCTCCAATGACGCCATGACCAAGTGCATCTCCGGAAACGAGCTGCTGGAGTACGGCAGCTTCCAGGGAAACATGTTTGGAACCAAAATCGAGACCATCGAGAAGATCCAAGAGCAGGGCAAAATCGCTGTGCTGGACATAGAACCACAGGTTAGTTTTACAAAGGTTGTTCTGGAGACGAAAGATTCAAGGAAAGGCTGTGATTGGAGGAGATTGGGCTATTGTCTCAAACTTAACGAGTCAATTTGTCAAGTCAACTGGTGACTTTTAATGGCTCTTTGAGTTGATTGAAAGTATAAAACTAGTGCTAAGCTACCCAGTAGTTGGAAATACAACTTCCTGTTTCATCGTCTGCACTCATTAGCCTTACCTCATGACAAAAAATACATCTCAACGTTTACTGTGTCATTTTAACAACATTCGACTGCTGTTGTTTGTTGGTTAAGAAGAGTGAAACGTTGGAGTTTCTTATTGTATGTCATTCTCCTGGGTTAAGTAAAAGGAGTATTCTCCTACTTTGAACTGCTCCTGATTGAAACGGTCTGAGTATAGATTGCATGCAGTGAAACAAGAAATAATGAAATGAACTATTTTGTTATTATTTAAGAATTTCAGGTGCATTTCATAGGTAAAGGTGGCATGGTACTTTTTCTCCCTATAGAAGAAGCACCCTTGTAATTAATCAGCATAACAAAAAATTGTTTCTCCTTCTTTGACGCAGACCTTGAAAGTCTTGCGGACTGCTGACTTTGCACCTCTTGTCGTGTTCATCGCACCGACCACTACAGCTGCCCAGGTACTAGAAAACTTCTCTGGGTTTGATTCATTTCTTTAAATCTCCAGTTGGAGACAAAAGCTAACCCTCTGTGTCTTGCACTCTTAGACAGAAAACCTTATGATGATCCAGAAAGAGTCGGAAGCCATCGCGGCCACATACAGACATTTCTTCGACGTGATTCTCGTCAACAACGACGTGGACGAGAGTGTGAAAGGCGTGGAGGAGGCCATGGAGCAGGCCACCTCCACCCCACAGTGGGTGCCTGTGTCGTGGGTGTACTGACAGATGTCAGCGTAACACCTTTTAGTAAATGAAAAGCAGTGCAATATCACTCCTTAACATGAGTTTGTCCCAGGTGCGTGTGGATTTACTTTTGGTTCGTGTTTAATCGTCACAGACCATTTTTTTGCACCAATGAATACAAAAAATAAAAATAAAAAGCAATATTTAGAAAGATTTATTAAGAAGCGGAGAGCCTCACAGGGAATGTTTAGTTTGGATGTTTTTGCTTCAGCTCTTTGAGTGGCTAAGGGATCGTTTTGGTGCGGCACGTGCTTGTGATTGTTGGAATGTGAGTAAATGCAAAATAGGACCACAACTGTGAATGAAATCCTTACTTTGAAGTGTCCGGATTTTACCATTAAACCATGATTTCTGGATTCATCGTCTTTTCTTTTTCTGTTTTTGCTTGACTGTGCCATGAAATTGAGATTTTTTTGAAACTGTGCGTACATAAAGTGTAACTCCATTCAACAATAACACTGTCTACACAAAATCATTAGTGAGCCATTGACAACCTCACGTCTCCTCTCATCACACTGTATACCTCATGGGGTACTGTAAAGGCACTTTTAACAGAAATAAATTTCCCAACTCTGTTTCGACTGCTTCTTTGACTGTGCATGCATGTTCTGCTCCAGAGCCCTCACGGCAAATATGACAGCATATATGTTATATAATCCCAAGTTAAAAAAAACCTCATCAACCAGATCCATGTGACAGGGAAACACATGGGGATATCATTATAGAGCAAATCCAATACACTTAACTGAAAAAAGAAAAAGTCCATAGGTTGACAGTTTATATTTGTTTTGAGTCAAATCTTCCCAGTTCCTCTGTTGTAGACTTTATTTTCTGTTGCTGTCTGTGGTTCAGCATGTCTGAGTAGAATTGTCTTCACTTCAGATCCCTCTACAACATTTCAGACTTTGAACCAGAGGACTTGTGGGGCAGGAGTGGGACGAGTCTGCCTACATTTTTCAGGAGAAGCCAGGGGGATGCTTTGATCAATTATAGATCAAGACATGCACGTCTGAGCCGCACAATACAAGCAGTGCATCTGTATCTTCCACACAGTCACAATTCTTACCTCGTCTACAGTCAGGAAGAAAGCGTTACAGGTAATACATGACAACGGATTTGTTTACAGCTCCTACCCAGAACATCTGGTTCTGTGTGTGAAGTATGCAGTACTATAACTATTCTATTTTCAGTCAACATTTAAATAGGATATAAAGGAGTAAATAAGTTGAATGATTACCAAACCACAACAATGCCACACATGAACAGGGTGTTTAAAGTTAAAGATATACAAACATTGTGGGATTATCTTAAATGTCACTGAGGTCACAACCATTAGGAGGAGAAGGGGGGGGTCACACTACGGGAGGCTGGTAGCTTCTGCTCATATTAGTTAGGGATGTCAGTGATGAAACCAAGTGGTTCTATGGCACCACCCTGTGGGCTGTGGGAATATTCTCTAAATCAGACGTCACGTGAAGGACAAACGATGAAACCTACATCCTTTATTGAAAAACTCAATTCATACATGACTTGTACATACAGTCAGAGTATCATTTGTTTCATCATTCGGCAAAACAATGTTCACTCACTGTGTAGCAAAATATAAGTAGATACAGTAAAGATATGTAATAGCAAAGCCTAATAATAAGTAAAAAGATGAAATAAGGCAATAGTGATTGAATGAGGTTCAGTTACGGGTGATGTTTAAGGTCACATAGAAGCTGGAGAATAATCCTAAAATAGCAGAAATGTGGAAATTGTCTAGTTTAGCATTTTGATTGGTTGGCCTGTAATTTCCCTTCTTTTTTTCCTTCCTTTCACTGTCTTAAGTTCTTATTCATTATCTTCCGATCTTCCTGTGTAGTCTTTTCCTTCCTTTTTATTCTGATCTTTGATGATATTGAAATGTATTAACCAGCATGTGAAGCAGAAAGAAGAACATGTAATCCTATTATTTTATTCTATTAACCACATTAGCGTAGTATATGAAGTTCAGTCAATGCAGAGACAGAAATGAAAACAATGTATTCTTTCATTTTCCTTACAAGCAAGACAACACTGTATGTCAGGGGGGGGAAATCTTGCATGTATTTTGTCTAACAGGAGTTCACTAGTGGAATTGAGAGTGGATTTACTAACTCGTGACAAACCCGTTGTGATCCACTTGTACCTTTCAGACTAATACTTCAGAAACAGCCAAAAGATGTGTTAGGTTTAGTGTGGGTTCAATATGTCACACGATGTTTGAGTTATTGGATTTAACCTGAGTAGGGATTATTCCAACATTATGTAATAAAGTATCTCTTACAATATCAACAGATTGATGATGCAACATTTTTTTCCATCAGAGTCACTGTATGCAGGGATTCAAAAATGCTGCCTTGTGAAGCAGGGCCAAGGATAAAACTCAGCGATGACTCGTGATGTACAGATTACTGATTGGATCCTGCACTAGTGGAGAGTTGCCTCTGCTTGTTTCGGGGTTTATGGTGCAGACATTACAATCATAATATCATTTAAACTTCCTCAAATTGTTCTCATCTTCACCATGTCTTTCTTTCATTGCCAGTGAATATAATACTTCAATCAACCAAAGCACTTAACTATGCCACAGAAATTCAGAAACAGACATAAATCTGTATAATTACTTATTGCTGAGAGGTTAAAATATGCTAGTCATAACAGACTTATCTTAATGAAAACATCCACTTATTTACATCACAAAAAGGGGGTATTAACCATGTAAGACAAATCTTAATCCTTTGATATTTATATATTTATTATTCATAAGAGTTTATTGTAATTTGCCTTGGAAACCCCTCTCAGGAAGCAAAGAAGTCCAAACCTGAGCCCAGATGCCTTAGAAGACCCCCACCCTCACATTTATTATACAAGACTAAGAATTTACAGTGCCTGGATGTAAAGCAGGTTCGTCTCAGTCCGACCAACCAATTCCTTCAACGACAGTTTGTTAATTGCATTTAGATTACTCTCAACTATACATCCCAATGCATAGCCTACTATCAATGATAACCAAGCATCTGCTGCGAAGCTTGCCACACCCCCCTTTCGAGGAACGCCATTTTGTTGACACACAGACTTGTAATCATATTAAGCTCATTTAAAGCAGCTTTAAACCCCAACTCTGTCCAAACATGCACAATGCATGGAAAGAAAATGTGCGTATCGCCACAATAACAGCATCGTCAGAAAGCAGCGCTGTCCTGTCTATTAGAGCGCTGTGTTTGAAGTATCCGGCCACCCATTTCAACATGAAACTCGTCTCATTGACGTCACAGAGCCATCTTTGTCCACCTAATCCAAGGCGGCTGTTTATTACACCTTCTTTACTGCACGGACCCTGACAACGCCAGGCACTAGTAAATAGTCTGCAGGTTCCGCATCGCCGTAGAAATTAGGAAGAATAAAGGAAGGTGTTGTTTTTTTTTTGTAGAAGTGGGGACATATCTAAGCGAGCACATCCTCCTGGACTGTAGAGGCAGGGAAACGCCACAATAACCAACCAAAGGGTGCCAGAGGGTAGAGAGGAGCGCAGAAGGCAATCCACATCCATCTGCCAGCCACTTAGCACACGCTAACATTTCCAGTCCGGATTTCAGCACAGCTGTCTAGCCAACACAACCAGGAACATGTAAGTACAAACACCCTTTCAAAGCTCTTTATTTCGACCGATGCCAATTTATGAGCGTGTCACAGTTTTTCTCCTGGCGACAGATAATAGCAGGATATTCGGGTTTACGCCGTCTGAATGGTTCCCGTGTATCCCTGCCATCTAATTCTGCGGTTATTTTCTGTCTGGTGTCACGTCCCTCCGTTTGTCATTGTAATAAATTGTCGTCGAATTAGATATTTCAGGGTAATTGACACTGTTGATATGACCCGAAGTGTTGTTTGCTAACGTGTTGGCCTAACCTTGAAGCAGACCTCGTTACAGGTTTAAATCTTATCCAACGCGTAATTAGCTGTGTTTTGACAGTGACACGACGAACCAGCTCCGTATTTACCGCACGTCTCTTTTATTTAGTCGTCTCTTGCTTTTCCACCTGGAGCCAGCACGCACACATTTTTTTTTTTTTCCAGTTTGGACTGGTTTGCTTTTGAGAAGGACACCAGTCTGTGTGATTACCCACAGGCTAATTAAAACCACAAAAGGGGGAAATATCATGTAGCCTTCAATAAAAGTCTTTCGGTCCTTCATGAACATTTCTTGCCCTTGCTTTCTTGTCATTACAGAACAGGTGATGATGCCTTTTTTTTTTTTAAATAGCAAGGACATGATGTTGAACCCTGAACGCGTTGAGAGTATTCGACGAATACTCTACAGACCGTCTAATACACGATGATATTATTAGCTCTGAAGTAGGCTTAGGCCTAGTTTACGTGATATGTGCAACCTACAGCGGGGGGTGGGGATAGCCTAGCCTCCTACTGTATTTCGTCGATTGTCGTGTGAGGGCGGACAGCTATAGCCTACATCTCACCACAATTCATCATGTTTGCGTTGTCAGGGACAAATAATGAAATGTTCCTTCAAATTTCCTATTCGACTCTTTCTGTTTTAAACAAAACAATAAAGTCCCTGGGAAACGAAAGCTAAGGAAATATAGCCGTGACCGTCTCCTCTGACAGTTTTTTTTTTTTGCATGGCAAGCAGTTAAAACGGTTAAAGAAAATGGTGCCAACTCACGACATGCCTTTAAAATGGGTGGTAACACTCCCTCTGTGGGCAATAAGTCTCATTTGTCAACTAAAATCATGGCTGTCATTATAAGGAACCTTCCCCGCCCTCTATATCGCAGGCTTTTCATTGTATTCACAGGCCCCGTCGTGCTCGTCGTGAAACGTGATGTTTTACAGGACATCGTGTAGGGCCTTGTGTATATGTGTGTGAAATGTGAAAGAGAAATGAAAGAGGTGAGTGTTGAGGGGATAGGATCCAGCTCGGTAACATCAAACAGACTGGTTTAGTGAGGCAGGGGGGGATCAGACAGTTTCAGGTCTGAGCTGCTGTGGCGCTGTCCAGTGCTGAAATGTCGCTCTCCAGTGCTCAAAGTCAGACAGCGTGCTTATTCATGACAGGGGCCACCCCAAACAGAATCCAGCTGTATTTGTGTTCTTTTACAGTTATGCAACTAGTTTAAATGGACAAAGGAGGATAGCATTTCATCTGCAGATTTACCCTTAAAATACATGTTAATTTCATAAGGGGCTCCTGAAAATCTCACAAAGACCTTTCATTTTGGTACACTGCAGGACTAGACTTTAATATGAGATCTTTCTTGAAAAGGGTTGAGTATAGTAAGCATGTATTTAAAACCCTCTTAAGAATTGGGCTTAAAAGATGAATGTAAAACCAGGCCAACCCAACATGATGAGTAAGTTAACATGTTAGGCCCTGAAAAGAGGGAGAAACTGATCCATGCAGTTGACTGCACAAAAACATCATCTGCAGGTTTAGACAATTATGATCAACGCGAAGGCTAAAATGTATTGCCAAGATGTCTTTGGAAAGATTCTGAGACAAGTTAAAGGGGTTTACCAGGTCAGGTTTCCCACCAACATTACCTGTTGACTGCACCAGCCAAGATCAGAAAAGACTGCTTCATTTTGGTGCTGAGCATCCAGTTGTTGTTTTTTTTTTTTTTTTTTTTTTAAATCTAACACAGCCATCAGTGTTCACAGGATGTGGAAGCTGGTGAGAAATCTTGTCACAGCTCTAGCAGCTCTTCCTGGTTGGTGCAAGTTCAGAGGTGATGATGGCATACATTAATGCTTTGAGGCGATACACCATGCTGAAAAGAAGCAGACAGTCATAAGAATAGAATAGGAGTGAGTATAAGAAAGTGAATGTCATGATCCTCCAGACACACAGTTGCTGATTCAAAGTTGAACTATTCATTAAAAATAAAACTCTATTCTGGTAATTTTTTTCCAAAATATATATAAATGTATACATGTTTAGGACAAATAATGATAGACACCGTTACAGATTTAGCATGTTGCCTTTAGTGTTTTCTATTGGCAGTTTCCATTACGGCTGGCAGGTAGCTAGCAGGGACCACCTGCACCATCAGGCCAACTATTCAAAGGATTTGTTGTTGTTAGAGGATTAGTGAAGTGTGAGCATGTAAAGGTGACCTTTATACACAGTTTTGCCTCACATGAGTGGTGACGCTGTTACGACTAAGGTTTATTCATTAGAAGATACTACAGCCTTAGTTGTTTCTTCCATTCAGCTTTTATTATTTTTATTGATTAATCTGGATAGACAGCAATAGTGCCTACTGAATACTGAGCCTCATGAAACTACATGCAAGCATGTTAATCCTCTACGGCCTGTTTCATGTGCTCTGTATCTGCTACAACATCAAATTGAAAAACGTTTATGATTTAATCTCGATGATTTTGAACTGATTAAGGCGCACGTTATTGAAAATTAAGTGATAGCAGTCAGTAGAGATGATCATATCACATTTCAGATCATTTTTGAATAGTCTTGGTTGGCGTATGTTCATTGTTGGTTGTTTTTGTGCTTGCTGTGTGTGGTTGTAATTGTACCTACTGTCCATTCTGCATGAGTGATGATAATCAAAGTTACATTTTATCTTGATGATCTAATGATTTAATAATTCCCCTCAACAACAAAAAATTAACAAATGAATCCACAGTTAGTAGTATAGAAAAGGCTCTTTAAGGATTAAACCTTAATAAAAATGAATTCTAGTGAAAAGTCCCCAATCTGAAAAAAACCCTGATATTATTGAAAACTGGCCTATCCTAAAGGTTAAAGAATGTAACATAATTGGCCTAAATGTAAGACTATGTATCTTTATCTCTCTAATATTTAATCAAATTATTTTTTTCATGTATTACTATATGTACTATATGTCATAAGCATTATTATTAATGCATTAAGACAGGCTTTCTTGCATTACCCTTTACTGTCGTAATCTGTCTGAGCATTGTGACAACAGTCAGGTATATGGTGAAATGGATTACTTTAAATAGTCTGCCTCTTCCTTTACATTACAGGTGGTTGTGGCACAGCTCTTATATGTGGCTGTGTTCCATGGTTTTGATGCTCTAACACTAACTGTTTGTATATACAGATGTTCTGCAGTTTGTGTTGTGAACCTAAACCTCACACTTACAAAGGTTTTTACTTATTTACTTATAGACAATAACAGCAGCTTGATGCAACAGGATTCACATAGAACTCTCAAAACCAAATATGAACAATACGAGAAACAAAAGTAATGTTACTGTTGGTCAAAAGCAAGTCTCTGTAAATATAATATTGATATTACCATAAACACTTGTTATATTCATGGTCACCTTTTTCCCCTCACTGCTAAAAAGCAATGGTACAGGAAAGTGTTAACATAAAGACGAGACATTCTTCATAGAGCTTTCACTTTTTAGTGGTACATGACACTGTCGCTTACACCGCCTGCCTCTCCCTGAGGTCATTATTGGCGCAGAGTGCGTCTAAAAGAATAAGTCTATGTAGGTCACAATACAACATGACATGACAGCTCTACATGACTTTTGCAGAGCCTGCAGTAGTTGAGTCTTTTTTTCTGTGATTGAAGGTAATTATCTGGACTCTTAAGTGATAACGTGTGGATTTGTTCCAAATATACAAATTAGAACTCATAACAACTCTCATTCAAATGTGAGTCGTTTTTTTTTCTTTTGATGTGTCTCCAACACGTTTCTGTTATCTTATAGCTCCTAGCACTGTCCATAACTCCACGCTCATAAGTCAAAACACTGAAAGACAAATAAGTGAATAAAAAATAACAGAGTATACATAATAAAGAGTGTTCTTATGACGATACAAAGCTTAATGTCTTTGCTTTATCACATTCTTAGGGTACATAAGAATAACATTACATATCACATTGCATAAGTGGGGCTAAGTACACATCGTAATGACCTTAGGATATAAGTTCCAACACCGTGTAGACAAACGTGTTTTTCTGACATGTCCGCCGCCAGCACCGAGGGGCCACGCGGCCTCGGGTGCGGGGATCTCAAAACCGGTAATGATCCTTCCACAGGTTCACCTACGGCTGTATGATCATTTCCTGTTGACCCCCCCCCTCCTTCTCTACATCTGTGATGAATGACACATGTATGTTGTATCAATATTGAATGTTTTTATTTGTGTATCATTAGGTCTGCCCCAGCTGGAGCCCCTGCAGCAGAGGGAGGGAATCAGCCTCCCAACCTCACCAGCAACCGTCGTCTGCAGCAGACACAGGCACAAGTGGATGAGGTTAGTACGCGCCTACTAGCGCTTAAGTATACTCATTGGTCACTTACTGGTAACGTGGTCCTCTCGGCTTGCTTGCACACTGCACAAACTGAAAAACACAAACCATTATCAGACATGTAAATGAAACATTTTCAGACCAAATAACAACAGCTTCATCCTGTTAGACAATCACACTGAGTCATGCGGTCCTGTGTCTCTCCCTAGGTGGTGGATATCATGCGTGTAAACGTGGATAAGGTTCTGGAGCGTGATCAGAAGCTGTCAGAACTGGACGACAGGGCTGATGCCCTGCAGGCTGGAGCCTCTCAGTTTGAGACCAGCGCTGCAAAACTCAAGAATAAATACTGGTGGAAGAATGCCAAGGTGAGGACATGCACACATGCTTAGTCTAATACTTAATATGTTTGTATGAAAGCTGCTTTAAACTGCCTCATTTAAATGCTAACCTTTCGGAATAAGTGGCCAATCACAATTGTTGATTTCTCTATATTCTTTGTCCACATGCATAATTTCTGTTTTCAGGAATATCAATATTATTTTGCCATTTTACAAATAGATTCTGCATCATTATGGTGTAACACAATGGTGATTGTACTGCCATTGCACTCATGCTGGCTTTAGTGTTTAAAAAGGGTTAGGGGTGCTGCAATTTGAAGTCAGTGAGGTGAATATAACTGAGGATTATGCAACAGTTGACAAATGATGTGTTAGAATGAATGATTCAAAATATGAAGTGAGTGAATGTTTTGTGTGGAAGAGAAATCTAGTCTGTACTTTATCAACTTGATTTGAGCTGAGATTGCCTTTCTTTTTCATTATTTGTAAAATTGAGAATTAGTTTTACAAACAGGGTCAAATACTTTCATTCATCTGTTTTTCTAACAACCTGCTATGTCTAACCTCTGACTACAGATGATGATTATCCTGGGCGTGATATGCGTGATTGTCCTCATCGTCATTATTGGTAAGATATCTATTGAACTATTTTGTGCACAAAGATTTAAAAATGTTGTCTTTTAACATAAAACAACCAAAACGTTTAACATTTTCTGTTTTATACACACAATATTTTGTATTTAATAATTTGATATTTTCTGAAAGAAAAAGATAGTTTTCTTGAAAACATATTATTTATATACACATTATAAAATATTTGTCATATTGATGTTATATAATCTTCCTGTTGAAGCATTCCTTGAAATGATCAATGAGACTTCATCACCCTTATCTCTTTTCTCCACAGTGTACTTCAGCACCTAAGAAGAGACGCTCCTACCCCAGTCTAAGCCCAACATCCTCGCTACAGAAAAAAAACCTCAAATCGATAACGAAATTAACCATGAAAAAGTGATTCTATATATCTCCCCAATTAGCCTTGGTATAACACCCCTAAACCCTTCAGGGCCCCATGGCTCCCCCACCTCCACCACCTGGCCTCTGGACCCCCTGTCAATATTTGTCCTGTGAGTGTGTGGCCCTGTCTCCTTTCTGGGTCCTCTTGGCTTTTCTAACCTGCCATAATGAGAACCAAACACTTGTGATGATGCAACAACAGAAAAGGAAACAACGATTGGCGATAATTGTTACATAACTGATATATATAGTTCTTTGTAGAGTTTTATTCTGATATATATACTGTTTTGTAGGTGTGTGTGCGTGTGTGTGTGCATTTTGTATTTTTTATTTTTTGTATTAATTTTACGTATGCTTCAGCGTTAAATACTGCCTATTAATCAGTGTGTATTGCATGTTATCATCATCTGTCTTTCCCCTGCTTACTCTCTATTTTTGGTGTAATTTTGCACATTGGAGTTAACTCCACTTTATTAAGGAAATACCCAAATGAGTATCCAGTCCATCTCTTGTCTTTTTAGACAGTTCAAAATAAGCCGGAGAACCAAAACTTGGACTTTAAAAAAAGTTGTATCAAGTTACAAAAATTGAAGCAACTATATCAACGAAACTGCCCATAACAAATCGTTAGCTCCAGATTTCTGTAACCTGATGCCATCGAAATCCAAGTTTTCTTCTTTCTAGGCTCTCGGAGAGAGTTACAGTTACTGTAACTGATCAAACATTTAAAAAAAAAAAAAAAAAATTATGCATGAATTGTTCAACGTATCCCTTCAAATCCAAATCCACAGACCTTTCCATCTGACCCCCAATCATCCAAGTGTCATTTCTCATTCTCCATCGACTAACTTTCATCTGTTGCGTCTTTAACTTCCACCGCTCATCTGTCTCTCAGCATGCTCGAACACCTCAATTTCTTCTGATTATTTCAATACTGCCATAGTACAGTTTGACCAATGTCTGTAGATGTTTCTTTTTTATTTCTATATTACGTAGTGTCTTATTTCGAAAACATTCCTTCATTGCAGTCTAGTGCAAATGGTCTTACCGTAGCACATTTAAATGTAAGTATCTTTAAAAAGAAAAAATATACATGCGATGAACTTGTGTAGAAAACGTCAGTCATACAAACCATAGGAAAAAAATAGTTCTAGTTAATAGCTGTAAGGGTAAGTTTTGGATAGACGGGATAAAGCTCAATCTGTCCAAATGTTTTTATTTTGTAATATAACTGATGTTATCCTACACTTACAGTATACTGTGGAGATGTCATAAGCATACAACTGTGGATACAGGCTTGTGAAAATGAAGATAAAGCGGGGCCAATGCCTATATTGACAATTAATTAATACTCATTGGCCCATTACTACATGGACACATAAAAGCCTTAGTCTTCAGTCACTTCTATTAGTTACTGTAGAACATTTCCAGTCAGAAACTCCTCACACTTGAAGTTAGTGTCGGGGGAGTGGCTGACTGCAGGGAAAAAAAAAGGAATCTGTTTAAAATGCACAAACCATCCTTGTTTTTGATGGCGCTGTCGGGCTGGTCAATAGCCTGGCCAAAGGAGATCCTTGTGCAGCAAAACCTCTCCAAATGAAGAGCACATAAAGAAAAGGGATAATTTAGCCTTATTTGCAAATCTTGAAACAGGGAAAGAGGCTAATGAGGAACAGGAAAAAAAAAATCCCAGTTGAGTTAAGTTGTGCAACTTTGGGGTAGGCTCAGATATTTAGCATGACTGAAAAAAAATTCTTCAAAAACATAGTAGCACTCTGAAGACGAGTGTTTTGCTAGCGCAGTGGTTCTGTCTCAGTGTTTCTCCCTATAGTTAAGGCCTTTTTTTCTTTTTTAAATATAATAGATTCTATTTTTTATTATAGTATATTTTTGTGTGATACAGACGGGTAAAGAGGAAGTGTGCGATCAGTACGATTCACCTCTTTACCTTCGTCTGCTGTGTTTTTTGTAATCCAGCTCTGTGCGTTATACACTGCCAAGCAACAAGGGAGAGGCTTCTATCCTTATTGTAATTTATTTCAGTGGTGCGCTCGCTGGTCTGGTCTTCAACCTACTTTTACATCCACTCCTGTGTACCCTTTGTGGCTATTTTATGAGCAGGAACGCAGTGTGACACACCTGTTTTTTAACGCTCTGAAGAATTAAAGCCTTGTACACTGAACTATAAAATGACACAAACTTAAAATCCTTTTGACTCAAATTGGTATTTTAAAAGGAGTTTAAACTAAATTCACAGTATTTTACTTGTGAATGTGAAATCTCGGCCCTAAAATTGTTGGAGCTCAGTTATTCAATCATGTCTGGCTCTCCTGAAATAGGATTTTAAAGTTTGAAGGCAACTTGCTCTTGCTTACCGATGCCATTACTTTACAATGCTAAACTGTAAGAAGATAGGCTTTCAGATCTAACAGTAGGCTACAGTCAAAAGGAAGATATAAAGACCATGAAACCACACAATTTGAAAATAGGAGTGTGTGATGCCTTAGTAGCCTTGTCTCTTTGCAACATGACTTTTATCTTCCCCACCAGCTGAGAAGACCAACCTGCCCCCCTTAGCTAAACTCACTGCATCCTACAGTGAATATGTGTGTTTCTGTGTGTGTTCAGGTGCATCAATGTGTGTGCATGTGTGTGTTAGAATAGCTCTGTCTTGGGAATATCCCCAGTTTATCCCAACAGATTAGGCCGCTTAAATCTCAGAGTGAGGGCACGTTGTTTCCTTGACCACTGAAGTACACGAGCAGAGAGGTTACAGATCTGCCGGCTAGTTCTATTACAAAGGACCCAAACCTTAACCGACCCACATTTCCCTGATTGCCCTACATGTTTCACCTGAAATAGAACAACAATAAATTGTAAAAGATTACCAAAGACCAGATTTCCATTCTTGTGCTGCCAATTGCCATCAAAAACAAGCGGAGAGAAACAGGTTATCCAAACTATCCAAGTCTGTTTGAAATATCTTAAACCCTAATCAATCCACAATAACAGGACCTTTTTAACTACGGCACACTGTTTATACGGTGTGTCAGTTTGGCTTTTGTGTGTGCCATTCTAACATATGCAAATGAAACCAAAACATAAGGCCCCCATGCTTTGAATCTAAAATACAGCGCCCACCTGTGATCATGTGATTCCTGGTTTAAAGAGCTTCTTTGAAGGTAAAAGTTTGAGACACATGATCCTATAACTAATAATAGCACAACTCTACTTTTTTCTGTCTCCATTTAACTGCCAAGTTCCTACATGAAAAAGAAATGAACTAACTATAGCTGTTAAACATAAAGAAAACTGATGTAAAAATCTGCTTTGTTTGGTGTTGTATAATGGGGGTGTTTTGGGGGTAGGGGGTTCCTATATCCTCAGGTTTAAGGCATTGGCATTTTACCAAAACATAAATGATGACAAAAAAGTACTTAATCAAAGTGTATGGTTTATGGTAATAGAAAATCGCAATAGGGTTACAAAAGTGGTCCTTTTAGCCATCCTGCAGGATTAAACCACACAGTGGACTGAAGTGAAATCACACTACTGATTGGGGTAGGACTTCTGTGTTATAAATCCGACCGTTGTGAGTGCTCAACCAATTTGATCACAGTAGTGAAAATGAAGTGAGTGCTCCCTCTTTCTGTTGCTTTATTGTCTGTATAAAAAGAAGTGCGCATCTATTTTAACACCGTGGCACTTTTTCTGTTGTGATTTGTTCATTTTGTTGTTGGAATGGGAACATGATTCAGAGGAGAATATTGTTTTATTGGCAACCTAAGGGAACCATTCGGGGATCTCAATCTAACACTGCATTCAGGTTCATTTGGTGGTGATCAAAAAAATACAAGTTGCCATGAGAAAGACAGATATTAAAAACTACTGAAATCCTTGGAGTGTACAGAGTGGAGAGTTTTAACTAACGTTTACTGTCACCACCAAATGGGCTGAATGCAGTAAAAGGAGGGAACCTTTTTGAGTCCCTGAACATTCACTGGGTGGCTATAAATGTACAATATTCTGCTTTATGTATGTTTTTTTTAACCAAATATTGTGTTTTTCTTTTGCATTGATTTAGTAATAAATCCAGATGTCACATACTTGTGTGTAAGCACTGATGGAGAAAGGTGAAGCAAATGGGGAATTAATGGGGGAAAATGACTATTTTTACCTTGAGTTGTCCAAAATGCTTAGAATGAGTCTACAGTTTACACCAGATTGCTGTTTGTATCTACAAGATCTATTTTTTTTTTTTGTTTAAATCGGTTTACGCTTGAGGAAAGATTTTGATTTCTCTTTGGGACTGGGGTTTCTGGGATGAAGCCCATATTGCCGCTGGTTGTCTGGCCTCACAGGAGGGACAAGACTGGAGGATCATTGGCAATGTGATCAGTTTTATTTGATCTTTTTCTTTCTCTTGCTTTTATTTGAATAGATTTATTGTGCTGTCATTTGGTATGGAATTAGAAATTAAACGTAATGGAGAGGAGACTGAATGGAAAACTAAAGTACATAAAATAATTGTAGTGTAAATCTATCAATGTCTTATTATATTGATGAACATCATGAAATATATGTATATTGGAAAAAACAGTACCTGTGACAACTTGTACTTTTGTGTGTGCTTCATGTGCTTTGTGGGTGTGCAACAATGGGCAGATGCAATTTTGACTGCAACTATGGGACCTTATCTGACCTGTACGAATACCTATAAATTTATTATCAATTCAAAGATACAGCTCTTTATTTAATTTATCCTAATGACATGTAAGTGTGTTTAAAATAACATGGAGACCTGGAGCCATAAAGGTGCACATTTCGACATTTATCTCTTCTAAGAGTCGTGTTTCTGCTATGCTGCCGACCAACACACACAAACACACACACACACACACACACACACACACACACACACACACACACACACACACACACACACACACACACACACACACACACACACACACACACACCTACCTACAGTCTAGTAGTGCCAATATAAGGACATGTAGGTAAAAGCAGTTTCCATACTGTATGTAATAACTAATACCTTAATTCCTGCCCTTATACAAGCTTTATTCACAGGACTATCAACATTATAGCCTACTGCTAGTCATTTTTTTAATTCACTTATCAGACGGACATCAGAGAGTAGAACACAAATCCAGTCATACACCAATGGACAGTGCGGGGTTAAGTGTCTTGCCCAAGGACACAGGACATAGCACACCTAGCACAAAAATGCTACAAAACATAGGCTAGATTATTTAGTGGTTGGAGGTTGAAGGATATCTGACACTCTCTGCAGTGTGTCTGATATTCTGTCCTGAAGTTACTAAATTAACTGTCCCTTAAACCCTGTTTCTCTATCCGGCCGAATCTCAAAAGCTGGAGCTAAAATGATTTTATCCGAAAGCCTATCGAGCTAATATCAATGGTCTGCTTTGTCTCGCTTTCATTTCAGTGACATAAATGAGTATTTTCAGGGGTTTTAAAGCCTGTCCACCACAGATAACAGATGTACAACACGAGTTACGATCACGGTGTGGTGTAATCAGAGTCATATAATCTCTTCAGTGTAATGAACCCACCTCTCTCTCTCTCTCTCTCTCTCACACACAGCGGCAGCTCCAACACTCTAGTTGTAGTTCCGGGTTTTCGCCACCCGGTGTCACCATGACAACAGTGAGCTCCCGCATGTTGATGTTAACCCACGACAGGAAGACAAACAGCCATCTGTCGGTGTTGAGAAAGAGACGTGAGCTAATTCATAATATAGGCTTAAAACATTCAAATAACGTGAATGACTAAAACATTCCATTCTTCAAAGCCTATGTGTTTAAAATTAAATCCATGGTTATGAAGGGAAAATAATAATACTGAAAAACACATGCGAGCTAAGAATCTAAACTTCTTCAATCAACATGTAGGCCTATGCCTGCACCACACAGCTATCCGGATGGTAGGCTTTATTAGTTTTTATCTGTTAAAAGGCCTATCATAGCCTACACTAGGCTACATCACTGGTTTAGATTGGGCCTACAAATAAAGAGGGAAAAGTCTAATCTACAGTAGGTCTAACCTTTAGTCATCAGTTTCAAATGATATCACTGTAATGGCTATCCCTTTTTCATGAACACAGTTTTTTTCCAGTTAGTCAGCCGTCTTCAACCAAGTCCGTGGAGTCCAAAATGTACGCCATGCTCGTCACTTTTGCAAATTCACAGCATCTATTGCTCAATTTCTCTTTCCACAGTGAAAAGGGCTTCACATTCCTATGAATGATTTTCTCATAAGGCTACTTGCTCTGGACTAACTTAGAGCTAAAGATGTGTCTCCTTAGCAGCTGCCATGTGAGGGCAACATAAGTGTGATCCTGGGTTTTTAATTAAAGCTTTTGTTCGGAAAAATAATCATCTGCATACTTTTACTATTAGATTTATTAGTTTAATTTCAGTGCAACATCCTGTTCATACCAGATTAAGCGCTGAGAACTTTGTATGCACAATATTACTTTTTTTCATGAAGTTTATGCAATAAAAAGCTGTTATTTCTTCTAGTCTTCCCTCTTTAAATCTTGGAAACGTACACAAGCTCTTTGAAACAACTCAGCTGTTGTTAGAAAGTAAACGGATGACATGTTGATGTTTCTTACAGTCTGGAGTCTTCCTGTTCCTGGCACCATCTCCAATTCCTTGTTGGACTTCTGTAATGAAAAGCAGGATACAACAAGTTTCCAGTCAAATCTTTATATCTGTGCTTGTGATTTAATTTATTGCTTAGGTCACATGAAATCCGGCCTACTGTACTGCACTGCATAATTGAAAGATTGATCTTTTTTTATCCGGTGGAGAGGGAATATGAGAGGAGCCACAATTACAGAGGACAGAGAGGGGAACGGTTGTTATGAAATCATCAGTTATGCTCTGTCACCTTCTAAAATATATGCACACATGCACTTTCATTCTGTTTTCCGGATGTTCAGCATAGTTTCACATTCAATCATATTTTACATCGAAAGCAATTAACTTGGGTAGAATGTTTTTCTGCAATAATAGAGTTGGCTCAGAAAGGCCTGAACATGACCTAAGTGCAGGGTGCATTCAAAAACAGCCTCTCACTTTGTTAAACTTCTTCTGTGCTTGATCATTTTCCATTTTTCCCAAATTTCTCCCCCCCCCCCCCCCAATCATCGGTCATCTACTCCCCCGCTGCTCTTCGCATTGACTTTCTAAAGAGGAATGCATGTCCAGTCCGAGGGATCCAGATTGGATTCCCTCTAAGTGTAAAGGTCTCTGTGACTCCCACACATCATGGCAGAGGCTGCAGAGTTCTTGCACACTCAGACGCTGTGCGCCCCCCAGCTGACTCTGCACGTCATCGCATTCCTGCTTCTGCTGTCTCTTATCAGGACTTAAAACAAACACAGCACAGCAGGACAAGAGAATTCTGATTCCTCCCGCTCTGTTGGAGCCCCAAAACTGTCAAAAATCCTCCCTTGAACTAGTTTGAGCTTGCAAAAAAAGCTTGAAAGAGGACCATTATTTAAACCTCATTGTAAGAAAATCTGCTAAAGTCATATGCCACATGACACTCTGCTGTGTGCTTTTATGAGGTGGCCATTTTGCTTTAAGCCTCCAGACTCAGCAAGGTGTTGCAGATCTGTAGTCTGCAAAAGTGGCTCATTTTATAGCTTTATTAATGAAACAGCATCCCCTCCATAGGCCCCTGTAATGTAGTCCAGGGGGTTGGCTCATCAGTGGATTCTAGCAGAGAAACAACACTCCCCCTCCCTACAGAGCTTTCCTTGCCTTGGTAGATTATGGGGGCAATAGAAACTCTACGACTCAGATGTAACGGAGCCAAAGGAGTCCCTGGGGCTTGGGGAAGTACGGTGAGAGGGAGGAGATCATTCATTTTATGATATTTCTCTCTGTGATTCCGATTTGAGCCGCTTTCTAGTATTTTGTTTAAAATAGATGGCCAAAGATGATGATTTCATTCTGAAAAAATCCTGCAGGGTTTTTGAAAATTGGAGGTCTCATAATTTGTTGAGGAATGTAAAGATTTACGGCCCTACTTGTCAAGTCTTCGAGCCAGTAGAGCCTCAGGCCGTATAGCTTTACCTGTGCACCAAACCTAGTAATTAGTCTGACATCAAGGATGGATGTTAGCAGGGCCGTTCCATTACCTTAACTTTGAATCATTTCAACCTTTTTGGTAAAAAGATTCATTTTCTGAATGTCTGCAAAGCCTCAGCCACAACTTTTGTTATTCTTCCTCTGTCCCTCATTCCGATTGACCCCCTTTGTTGTACTAAAACCAGGTTTATTTTGCAGGAACATCTGGCTCTAATTAAGGCGTTCTTCTCCCTCCCTCCCTCCCTCCCTCCCTGCTCACGTCATCCCCCCTCATGGCTCTTTGTAGCAACTGTCCTTTCAGCATCTCTGTCTGACTCTTCATCCCTTCTCCAACTCTTTCTCGCCCCTCTTATTTCTCTCCCACTTATTCATGCTCTCCGCCCATCCTGACTCAACAGCCTCCACCTCCTCCCCCCTTGTCTTTCACCTCTCGCCTCCGACTATCATCTCTTTCTTAAAACAGTCTGCTTTGGTTTGCATGTACGCTGCATCATGATGCATATGGGCAACATCTTGGGTCTCTCCTTGTTCCTGTGTCTGAGCTTAGGATGGACGAGTGCTCAGCAGAGCAACTCCACCAGGTGAGCGTGTGTAATTGTCTTCTAGAAATGGATTATCATTGTACTTTGGGATAATATTCTTAGTTTGAATACAAATCAGCAAATGGAGTTCACTAGTCAGCAACTTTGTGAATTCTTTCCTGTGTCTGTAAGTACATTCTTTCCACTTCACTGTTTGATTGGGCACAGAGTTGTCCTGTCGGTTGTTGGCTCATGATGTGAAGCACGCTGAGTCTACAGTGGCTAAACCAGATGTTAATGCTTTGGGTTCTGCCTGTGGGGTCGAATCAGAGCAACTTGGCTCCAGCCCTGGACAGCTTGGCTCTAATCAGCAGGCTTGTGACTTTGCTGGGGATCTGCCGTCTGAGTCTGTAGTTAGTGGAAAATGGTTTTTTTTCAATTGCATGTGAGTACATGTTGGTTCCTCCAGGATAGAGGGATGACAGACAAATCTTTCTGGAACCTTCTTTCTCCTTCTCGAATCCTCCCTCTTCTTCTCCTTCTCAAATAACTCCAACAGCATAATTTGCACAGCTGAGCCAAAAACAAACCAATCTCCATCAACAGATTCCATGATAACATTTAAATAACAGGCTAATTCTTCTTGGCTCATGTACACTGTACAAAAAAAAAGTCTTGTGTGACCTTTCTGGCCTTTAATAGGAAATGTTCTGAGCTTGAAAATGAGCTTTGACATTCATTGAGCTCTGGGGATGTTTGGAAAACACCAGAAAATGTGTTGACACAGTAACTCTGTGGTTGATATATTTGGTCAACTGCAAAATGTGCTTGTCATCTTTATCTGAAAAACTGAGCTAGATCTTTTCGGTAATGCTTCTATAACACTTCAACCCTGACTCCTCATCCTATAAAACCATGGCAGCCATCTAGACCAATTTAGTTGTGTTGGCATAACTTCATAGGGTCAGAAATACAGAATCTGGTTATTCTGAGTTTCCTTTGATTAAAACATTGCATGCACAAATATTTAATGTACTGTTTATGTATAAATCTGTCATAGAACAACTGCTTCAATTATTGGAATGAATAAGATTACGAGACGTCAAATTAAGTCAGTAACATTATTATATCATGAAACCATCAACAACAGTGTCTCAGTTTTGTCA